GTTATGCTGATCATCGTAGGAGAGACTTAGAGTTTCATGTAGGGGATATGGTGTTCTTGAAAGTATCACCATGGAAAAGAGTGATCAGGTTTGAAAAGAAAGGAAAGTTGAGTCGTAGATACATTGGTCCATTTGAGGTATTAGAGAAGGTTAGTGAGGTTGTGTACCGTGTTGTTTTACCCCCTAGGTTGGCAGGAGTGCATAATGTGTTTCACGTGTCTATGCTGAGGAAATATGTGCACAGTCCGTCGCATGTGATAGATTATGAGCCGCTTCAGATTAGAAAGGATTTTTTTGTATGAGGAGATACCTGTTCAGATTTTGGATTCGAAAGAGAAAATGTTGCGTACAAAGGTCATTAAATTGGTTAAGGTACTGTGGCGTAATCATCTAGTTGAAGAAGCGACTTGGGAATGCGAGGACGAGATGCGCGAGAAGTGCGACCTATTTCTGTGACAGAGGTACGTAGCTTTCTAGGGCTTGCTGGATATTATAGACAGTTTGTGGAAGGATTCTGCTGTATTGCTTTGCCATTTATAAACCTCACTAGGAAAGAGGTAAAGTTTGAGTGGAATGATGATTGTGAGTGTAGTTTCCAAGAGTTTAAACAATGGTTGATATCAGCTCCAATCCTTGCCTTACTTACAGGTGGTAGTAGTTTTCTGATGTATAGTGATGCTTCATGATAGGGTTTAGGATGTGTGCTCATGCAACATGGGAAGGTGATTACTTATGTGTCACGACAGTTGAAAATACATGAGAGAAACTATCCTACGCACGACTTGAAGTTAGCAGCAGTGATTTTCACTTTTAACATTTGGCAACATTATTTGTATGGAGAATCAAGTGAGATTTACACTGATCATAAAAGTTTGAAGTATATTTTCACACAGAAGGAACTAAATTTGAGGCAAGGAAGATGGCTTGAGTTGTTAAAAGATTTTGATGTGAATGTTTTGTATCATCCAGGGAAGGAAATGTAGTGGTGGATGCCTTGAGTAAGAAGGTCGCAATTGGAGATATAGCTGCTTTGTGTATTAAGAGTTGTTTTGTGGAAGACATGAGACGTTGAGGCTTGAGGTTGTTACGCCTGGTGATAGGGCTTATTTTAGTCAATTGACAGTTCAGCCAACCTTTAGAGAACAGATTCATTTAGCACAGGAGATTGACCACCAGTGTGAGCGTATTAAAGGAGAGATGGCAGAGGGTAAGAATGTAGACTTTGTGGTTAGTGATGACGGGTTACTTAGATTCCGTAGCCGAATTTGTGTTTCTGTTGGTTGTGATTTGAGGAAGGAGATTATGGCAGAGGCACATAGTTCTAGTTATAGTTATAGCATTCATCTTAGAAGTACTAAGATGTATCGGGATCTTTATGAACATTTTTGGTGGAATGGTATAAAGGGAGATATTGCAGAATTTGTGGCTCAGTGTTTGGTGTGTTAACAAGTTAAAGTAGAATATTAGAAACCTGCGGGGAAACTACAACCCCTACCTATACCAGAGTGGAAGTGCGATCATGATACCATGGACTTTGTGTGTGGTTTACCTTGTACTAGTAGTAATCACGATGCAGTTTGGGTTGTTGTTGATAGATTAACCAAGTCAGCACATTTTATTGCAGTTCGGATGAACTATTCTCTAGCTCGATTTGCACAGTTTTATGTGAAGGAGATTGTTAGATTGCACGGTGCACCTGTGTTAATAGTGTCAGATCGGGACCCTCGTTTTGTGTCTAAGTTTTGGGGTGCGTTACAATCAGTTATGGGTACTTGGTTAAATTTTAGTTCAGCTTATCACCCTTAGACAGATGGGGTATTGGAGAGGACTATTCGAATCATTGAGGATATGTTGAGGGCTTATGCTTTGGAGTGGAGAGGTAATTGGGATGATTATTTGCCGCTCATGGAGTTTGCGTATAATAATAGTTATCATTCTAGTTTGGGAGTAACGCCTTATGAGGCTTTGTATGTGAGGAAGTGTAGGTCTCATTTGTGCTGGTATGAGGTTGGTAAGAGGCAAATGTTGGGACTTAATTTGGTGGAGAATGCTACACAAAAAATTATCACCATCAGAGAGAGATTATTGACTGCCCAGAGTAGACAAAAAAGCTATGCTGATTATCGTAGGAGAGACTTAGAGTTTCATGAGGGGGATATGGTATTCTTGAAAGTATCACCATGGAAAGGAGTGATCAGGTTTGGAAAGAAAGGAAAGTTGAGTCCTAGATACATTGGTCCATTTGAGGTATTGGAGAAGGTTGGTGAGGTTGCGTACCGTGTTGCTCTACCCCCTTGGTTGGCAAGAGTGCATAATGTGTTTCACGTGTCTATGCTGAGGATATATGTGCACAGTCTGTCGCATGTGATAGATTATGAGCCGCTTCAGATTAGAGAGGATTTTTCATATGAGGAGATACCTGTTCAGATTTTGGATTCGTGTTTAGGCTTACGTGTGCCTTGGGCTAAGTCCCTGTGGGCCACGGCCGGTCATACCCGGATTTGGGGTGTGACAATTGTGGTATCAGAGCGTACAAAGGTCATTAAATTGGTTAAGGTACTGTGGCGTAATCATCTAGTTGAAGAAGCGACTTGGGAATGCGAGGACGAGATGCGCGAGAAGTACCCACATCTATTCTCATGATTTACTCAGGTTAGTTTCGAGGACGAAACTTTTTTTTAGTCGGGGAGAATGTGAGAACCCGAACATAAAAATTAAGTAAATAATTAAATAATAATATTACAATCTCAAATATTTTGGTGATGAATCCTAAAGTGCAAATTAAATATTTGGAAGGTCTTTTAATTAATTTTAAAACCTAAAATAAATTTATGGTGAAAGTATTTAATTTAGAGGCAAGATTTATTATAAAGGAAAAAATTTAAAAAAAATAGAGAAGAGGGTGTGACTTGAACTCTAGACCACAAAGGTTAATATATAAGACTCTTACCATTTGAGTTGCATAAAACTTATATATATGTGTTGTATATTTATCTATTTATTTGACCTATGTGTGCCCACCACTAGTATAAAATAAAATAAACACAAACCCTACTCTATTATCTGCAGCTTCTGTGTTTGGTCACCATCTCAAATTAGAACCTCTAAATCCTGAGAACAAGTTGATGTGGAAAAGGGAAATGAATTGCCTTCTATCCGTATGTGATTACGTCGTCGAATTCATCCCAACCACATCACAAAATTTACATGATGGAACGGCGGTTGAGGTTTTTGTTTTTTTTTTTTTTTTAATCTTGTAAATTTCAAAAAGGGTACTTATGAATTTTACCATTTTCGCGTGTTTTAGCGTAAGGTGTTGATTCGTCTTTTCTTTTCCAGGTGATGGAAAGCAGACCGAGATCAGACATTTACATCAACCTCCCTGCATTGAGAAAGCTAGACTCGATGCTTGTGGTAAGACAAGTTTCATTCTCTTGAAACAGAAAAAGAGCTACTCTGTCTCCAAACAGGGGTGTGCATTAACACCCTGCAATAATGAATCATATTGCATTTTTCAATTGGTTGTGTTTCGGTTAAACCGTGTTCATTTATTTGTTTTTATTTTTTTTGTGTGTGGGTGTTTTCGGAAACAAAACAATGAAAAGTTCCAGAACGAATTTCGATTTCATATCATTTTTCACCTTTTGTTGTTTCCTAAATTGAGTTTGATTTTTCATGAAATTTTCTCAAAAATAATTTTAGGAAGCCGTTTGCCAAACAAGTTTTTTTTTATAAAAAGGAAAGTGATGTTTGTCTGTGTTTTATTTTCTTCATTTTATGTTTTATGTTTTCATTTTTCAAAAAAACACATAAAACTTGTTTAAACAGAGTAACCCTGTTTTAACTCTGTTTTCATTTTCTTAAAAAACAGGACATGTTGGATAGCTTCCAAGAAACTGAGTTTTGGTATGCAGAACAAGGAAGTATGTCAGGTAATTCAACGCGTACTGGTTCATTCAGACGGGTCATTCATCCTCAGCGTAAAGAGGAAAAGTGGTGGCTTCCCGTGCCTTGTGTTCCGCCTGACGGCCTCTCTGAGAAATCAAGGAAACACTTGCGAAAAAAGCGCGATTGCGCGAATCAAATTCACAAAGCTGCCATGGCTATCAATGGTACAATCCTATGTGAGATGGAAATTCCTGACTCATATATGGCATCACTTCCTAAGGTTAGTCCACCATGCTTTGATTCTATCCATTTTTCTGTTGAATAAGATCAGAAATACAAAAAATCGATCAGAGACTCAGACACAAAATACATATATGACGGATAATAAAACTCATCCCATTATGTGTATTTTGTGTTCCATTCTGTGTTTGTATCAAACCCGTTTTCTGTTTTTAAATTCCACCCTTCTTTGCATTAGTTTAGCAAATTTTCTGACTTCACATGCCATGTGGGAAAATTTTGTTTTCAGAGTGGAAAAGCGAGTTTAGGCGATACAATCTACCGATACATGTGTGTTGTAGACAAATTCTCCCCCGATTATCTGCTCGACTGTCTGAACATGAGCTCAGAGCATGAAGCGCTCGAGCTAGCAGACAGAGTCGAAGAATCGATGTATACATGGAGGCGTAAAGCATTCATGAGCCATTCAAAATCGTCATGGGACATGGTTAAGGATTTCATGTCTGACATTGATAGAAGTGACAAAAACCAAGTTTTAGCAGAGAGAGCAGAGGTTTTGTTGTTCTGTTTGAAGCAGAGGTACCCTGAACTTTCACAAACAAGCTTGGATACATGCAAGATTCAATACAATAAGGTAAGCATGTGTAATTTTTATGGTTATTGATACGTTGAAGTGATGAATCAAAAGTGCATTTTCCAATTGCTTATGTTTTTTTTTTTTGGGTTTGTGTTTTTGGAAACAAAACATTAAAAAGGTCCAAAACACTTATCGGTTTCATGTTTTCACTTTTGTTGTTTCCTAAAATGAAGGCCTTTTTCATATACATATATATATATATATATATATATCAAAAGTAGTTTTTTTTGGAAACTCAATTTTTTTTTTTTATTCAATTCTTACATTTGGTTGTGTTTTCATTTTTTGAAAAATGCAAAAAAAAAAAATTGTTTAACAAATTGTTTTCGAAAGGGAAAATTTTCTGAAAACAATCCACATTTGTTTCTGAAAACAAAAAATGAAAAATTTCTTAAGAATATAGCTAGGTACATGTTCAAGTGTTGGAAGCAATAGTACGACCAATGAGTTGAAAAAAATTGATCACTCCAGTGAAGAAGAAATAGACCATTTAATGTGAAAAATTTTGTCCAATAAGAAATTTAAAAAACGAAAAAGAAAAGAGATGAGACAAAATTTTGCTAGTTTGAAAATTCATATCCTTTCTATCTCATATGGTATAGTTGATCTGTAAGAATCTGAATTTTTGGACAACTAATTAGTTTGTTAATAATAATATTAAGTCATTAATAGTGATTATTAAATTATCAAATTATAGTGTTAATAGCATTATGATTAATACCAATGTTAAATTCCTTTGAATAAAATTATTTATCTTCCTATGATAAAAAAAAAATTATGTAGCTAATGCAGTTGTGAAAACTAAATGGATTAAATTAATAGTGAATAAGCTAGTTAGAGTTTAGTAGGAAAAAAAAAAAAAAAAAAAAAAAAAAAAACGGTTATACTATTAGAAAATACTAAAGTTCATATATATTTTTGTATAAAGGTTGGAACATTAAAGATGATACATTTTCTGAGTGAATGTCCAAATGAAGATGATACATGCTCAAAATAAGACATTTACATTAGGAATGATACATTTACAGTGGGAATATTACATTTCCTGGATCAGAAAGAGACAATTTTCTGTAAATGTAACATTTCCATTGTTACTAATACTATTCCAACCTATGTAAATGTCTCAAAATTGTTGCAATCGAAACATGTATTTTGGCACTCAAACAAAACCCATGTCATTCCCTGATACATTTACAGGTGACTGTTACGTTTATAGGTTGAATGATACATTTACATAGAGTCACAGAAGAAGATGAAGATGGTGAAAATGGAGACTTACATAATCAAAACACAAATATCACATGATCGTATATACATACATAATGTGCTCAAAGTAGTGCTTACAAGTTAAGAGCGATGTCGGTGGATAACATGCTTGACGCCCAAATTGTTGATGTCAATGGCCGGGTTTTGGATAGGAAGGCCATGGGTGAGGACATGTTTTGGGTAGTGAGAGGTGGCGGCGGCGCTAGTTTCAAAGTGGTGTTGTCATTCAAAATCAAACTAGTCCCAGTGCCTGAAACTGTGACGGTTTTTCGGGTTGAGAAGACATTGGACTAGAATGCAACAAAGATTGTTCATAAACAAAATTTATCATGATCTGTTCGCAAGGCTTTCTTCACAGCCAATCAGTGCCAAGCAAAACGATTCGAAGACGATTAGAGCAACATTCACTTCATTGTTTCTTGTTCTTGGTGATTCCCAGAGGCTCATGGCAGATGAGTCCGGATCCTCTGCCACTACTTCCTGCGACTGGTTAAAACGACGTCATTTTGATCCTTTTTTTTTTAACAGCGCAAGTCGTTTTGATCCCCTTTTTTTTTCCTTCTTTTTTCTTCTTCTTCTTCTTCTTCTTCTTATTCTTTTGATTCACTCATTCGCTTCTCGTTTTTGGGAATTGTTTTGTTAAATTTGAACCAAGTTGTGTCCATGAGTTTTGAAGCTGAGATTCGTGTGATGGGATTTGGGTCGAGAAATCTATTAACGATCATCTGAGTTTCCGGCGAAAACCATGGTCGAAATTTGAAATCAGCTCTGTAAATCTTCTTATACATTGAGGTTATATTATTGGACTGAAATGGCAAATACCCAGAAGGTAAAACGAAGAGTATGACTCCGTATGATCCAAAGTCTGTGACCTTAAGATTGCCATTTTCGTCTAAAATGAGGTTCTAGGGCTTCAAATCACAGTGGTAAACGCCACGACTGTAACAGAAATCAACAACGCAGACCAACTATTTGAAGCAATTCCGAGCTGAGCCTTCCTTTAATTGGCCTTAGGAGACTTTCTGGAAGAGTTTGCCGCCGCGGAGGTACTCCATATCGTAGTAGATTTTGGACTTGGTAGCCATGACTTCGTAGAGCTTCACGACGTTGGGCTGATGAACTTTCTTCATTATCAATATCTCGTGCTTCACTTAATCCATCATTTCAGTTTTGATGATTTTGTCTTTGGAGACGACTTTCACAGCGACAGTCTTGCCGGTGAAGAGATTTAACCGTCTTCGATGTGTTTACGGTGGCAGGTGCAATCAATGATCTGTTGGAAAAATTGGTTTTATAAGGCTTATTTTGGGCCAACTTTAAGCCCAAAATTGAGTGGGCTCCAAACGTCTTTTGGGGTGGGTCCGAAAAGGTGACGTGTTTCTTGCCGCATGGCAAGTCACACAGTAAAGACGGTTCGTCAAAACCATTTATGAGTGAATGGGAAATTGACGTCGTTTTCGGGTTCATGGAATGGACAATTAAAGAAGTAAATGTGAGTTTCTTTGAAATGGGTTGTCCCACATTAAAACTTTAAGAGAGCTTTTGTGTGTATAAAAGCTCTAGAGTACAACACTTGGGTTGGGCCCCAAGGGCCACCCCAAGTTTGTAAAAGGGAGGAGTTATGGACAACATAAACTTTAGCCAAAACAACCACACACGCGCACGCGCCGTCGCCGTCGTCCGGCCGACCGAGCCGTACCGAGCCAAGGTGTGGGTTGTGGGTCTGGTCAGTTCTAATGTTAATTTTTTTGACAAAATTTATTTGAATTTTTAATGAAATCAAATTCAAATTTTGTGCCAAAAATTGAATTAATTTACTGTTCATATGTTACCCGGTTTCCAGTCCATTTTTCAGAAAAGTTCAAAAGGTTCAAACTGTTTTAACAGTGTTAAAAACTGCCCAACAGTTTTAAACAGTTTTAAAACTGCCAACAGATAATAAAACTGCCAGCAAATCTGTTCCTTTGAATTTTGCACCGATTGACTTCATTTGTACTTGTTCGGATCTGTTTGGTTTTGCCTGTAAATAGAAGGTTATTCCAGCAGTTTTTTGCATGAATAAACAATCTGAAATTTTCATTTTGCTATCCTTTTTCCCTTCTTTGCATTATTTATTCTTCATTTTAGTTTTAGAAAAAATTAAAGAGAGTATAGAACACAAGGTTCTAGTTCGTCAGACAAATTTGTTTAGAGTGCTACCACAAATTTGTGAAGATCATTGTATCCTAAGAGATAGACGCCATTAGTCCGTAAGCACTGTAGCGGGGCGAATCTGTCTTAAGGACAGAGTGTTACACACTTGACTTGGTTTTTAAATATTCATTCGGTTCGGTAAAAATAAATTCGGTATGTAACTTATTTTATTTTTTTGATTTGTTTCAATTTATTTATTTTTCACAGAAGATTGTTCCAACAATCTTAAGACAAATTCAAATTATTCTGTTTATAGAATTTTTCGTTTATTTCTTTTCTTCCTTCTTCTTCTTACAGAAATTATTTTCTATGATTTTACAAAAATAATATTCTGGTTGGAAAACAAATAGTAGTAATATACTGTATGACAAATAGTAGTAATATACTGTCTATTTTCTTTGACAACTAGTAGTAATATACTTGTGTCATTAACAATTCAGAATATTTATTTGTGAAATTTTATCAGAAATTAATTTTGATTTTCAGAAATAATTTCTTAGTGTTCATTAATTAAAATTCTGTTTTAGTTTTTTAATTCTTGAAGTGTTATAGAAATTTAATTTTTTGTGTGGAATTAATTTTGTTAAATAAAATTTTATTTTATTTCCAAATTAATTGAAAAGATAAAGGTTACATTTCTTGTTTTTTTTATTTTTACAGAATTTAATTATGTGAATCTGGATTAATTTTCTATGTAGTATAAAATTTTGAATATAATTTTGTTTTATTATTTAGAATTCATGGCTACTGAAACAAATGCTCAAACGAGTATTGGAATGGTGACTGCAATTGCGCCAACCCCCTCTCCTGTTGTGACAGTACTGGTAAATCATGGTGAGAAGCCAGAGAAGTTCTCTGGAACTGATTTTAAAAGATGGCAAAAGAAAATGTTGTTCTATCTTACAACTCTGAACCTGGCTCATTTTCTCCGTGAGAATGCTCCTACTCTGAACGAGGATGAACCTGACCGGCAAGTGGTTGATACGGTCGATACCTAGAAACATGCTGATTTCTTTTGCCGAAACTACATCTTGAACGGACTTGACAACACATTATACAATGTATACAATCAAATCAAGAAAGCAAAGGAACTTTGGGAGTCTTTGAAGAGAAAATACAAAACAGAAGATGCTGGCTCAAATAAATTAGTGGTTGGCAAATTTTTGAATTTTGTGATGGCTGATTCAAAGACTGTGATCAACCAAGTTCAAGATCTCCAATTCATTCTGCATGACATTCACGCAGAAGGCATGTCTCTCAGTGAATCATTCCAAGTTGCTGCCTTAATTGAGAAATTACCACAAGGTTAGAAGGAATTCAAGAACTACCTCAAACACAAGTGCAAAGAAATGTCTTTGGAAGAATTGATTGTGCGTTTGAGGATTGAGGAAGACAACCGCAATTCAGAGAAGCGAGCTGGTAAGCATCTAATAGAGTCAAAGGCAAACGTGGTGGAACATACTCTAAAAGCAAAGAAACGAAAGTTTTATGGAGAAAGTTCTGCACAAGGCTCTAAAAGGAGGGAAACTAAAAAGTACAAGTTTAATGGCAAATGTTACATCTATGACAAAGGGGGACATCAG